AGGATTGCGCACGAAGCCCTCAAACGAAAACATCTCGCCCTAGGTCTTCAAAAGCATGGGAATATTTTAAAGTTAGTCCAAAACGCAAAGATATTTATATCTCACTGAGACTGCTGCTTGACCGGAAGCAGCAGCTAGCTGTGGTGGCAACCATTAGCAGCTAGCATTTGCTCTCCGATGTTTACATAAAAATGGAATTATGGATTATAAATTCAATAATTGTTTTATACATAGACGTTAAAAACCTATGGATTAACCGATTCAGCCGCGTTTTTTCTCATTTTAATGCCATTGAACACGTATTTTGATCAGATTGACAGCTACGGCGGTGAGACGATCTCCCTAGAAGCTCTGTGAAGGTACGTGTTGTGATGACTGTATTTGCTTCCCCTGTCGCGAGTCCGGATCACTCAGTGATGATACTATGTACCTACATAATCTGTGGAGTCTCAGCTTTAATCGAATATCTTGTATGTGCAGCTACGATAAGTAATAAGGGTTATCTTGAGTTCTGTGCCAATGTCCGTTAGCATTTTTCGCTCAGGGGTCATTTAGATAGCATTTTAGTTTGCTTCTTATGAGACTTGTGTTTTGTTTTGTGTTGGTAAACATGGTTTGTATCGTCAGTTAGCTGAGATTATTTCCGTTAATCTGGTATAACACATTAATAGGTTCTTAAATATTAAGATCCCCTGAGACACAGTATCGTGGAAAAAAAAATGTTTACATTACTTTTTTTGACATTACGTTTTTTATGAATTGAACAACAGAAAAATAATCGTTCGATTAGTCAACTAATCGATCAAATAATCGCCCGATTAATCGTTTTCAAAATAATCGTTTCCCCCCAGCACTAGTTAGCGGACGTTAAAGGTGGGCCGTGGCCCCCACCGGCGGAGTCCTCCATGGTAGCCGGCAGGACACCCCGCTGGGCTCCTGTGTCACAAAGGAGTCTGCGACCAGAGAGGGTGTCCCTGATGAACAGGAGCCGGTTGGATGTGCCCACGCTCGCGGCCACTCCCGAGCGCAGGCCTTGGCGTTTCCCGTTACCTTGTACGTGCAGGGGGGACGGCACATCTTCGCTTTCGCCCCGTAGCGTGCATGGTAATAACACGGCCAGTCGGCCCCGGAGCTTCTGTTAGGTAGCATGCCTGTACCAGGGAAGGTGGTACTCAGGGGCAAAACGCTGGGTTGCCAGGAAGAACCGGTCAGCTTCTTCGGCCAAAGCGCGGGGCTCAGCAATAGCCGTGTTAGCGAGCGCTCTCTGTACATGCGGCGGCATGTGCCGAAGAAACAGTTCTATGAACAAAAAATGAAGTTCTTCCGTACCTAGCAGGCTGAGCATCATCTCCATGTGGTCAGAAGGCTTGTTGTCCCCCAGGCTATGAATAGCGAGCAGGCGTCGGGCCCGTTCCGACCGTGACAGCTCGAAAGTCTTTAACAGGAAAGCCTTGAACGCTGCATATTTATCCTGGGCAGGAGGAGATGTAATAAAGCCCACCGTCCGGGTCGCAGTGGAGCTCCCCAGCACCGAAACGACGTGAAAATAGCGTGCTGCGTCGTCAGTCACTCCGCGGAGGGCGAACTGAGTCTCCGCCTGAGCGAACCATGCAGCCGCAGATGTCTCCCAAAACTCCGGCAGTTTGAAAAAAACGGCGTTATTTGCCATGCTCGGGTCACCAATGTAGTGCCGAGAGACGGGAGTCGGAGGCGGGGTATCAAAGGTACGAGCTAGACTTTTATTTAGCATCTGAAAACACATGTAAACAACTTCATGCCCGGGAAGCGAAGACCGGCGGAAACAGGAAGTCCGGTTCACTAAAATGTCCGTGCGGAACAATACCCCAACCCATAGATCCGTGGGTGAATAATGTCAATCACCACAATACTTTATATAGGTATGGCCCTACAATATATTGTTCAAATATAGCATGATAGGTCACCTTTAAGCCTTTTAAGATAAGTATCCAGTTTAATATTTTTGAACCAGGCCCATGAGAGGAAGTAAACACGCAATATTTCACACACTGACGGCGACTCTCTTGCGGATGATCCAACCATTAAAACAAGTTTAGACTTTGAAGGTTATGTTCATTTGAGGTGAGGCGAGGAGCCACAGAAAACAACATTGTAGGAAGCCAGATTATTGAAAAACAAAAGTGGAGCTGAATCAGAGACAGCATGTTGAGCCACTGGTGGAATTCAATAATTGACATAACTGCCGAAAAATATGACCAGGAAAATAATATTCCAACTCCTTAAAATACATCCAATTTTGGGAGATTAAAGTACAGAACAGGAATGTTTGGAATGTTTGGAGGACTGTTATGTCCCCATAAGGGAGGCGAGTCCCCCCCCCCCCCCCCCACACACACACACACAACTCTGTGGCAGCTGCAAGTGTATCTGGATAAATGATACACAATGTTTCATGATCTGTGTTCATTTAGTTAACTTCAGTCGAATAGATCTCTGAACCTTTTCTTTTGTGAAATAGACAACATATTGATGAGAGGATATACACTTCATGAAAGATAAACCGTGGCTAAAATGTTTATATGTTTTAGTTGACAAAAGAAGACAGAATTCATGTGTGATCCACATGGGCGTAGGTCATCTTCCCAGTAGCCAGACCTGTATTCATTATGTCCAAACTTAAAAAGTACTACATCATTCTTAACCTTACCGTTAACATCTAGTGCCAGGGTTCTGTGCACATGCAGGAACTAGTTTGGCTTTATGTTGGAGATGGACGTGGTGTCAATGTGTGTGTAGTGTGTCGGACTGTTCACCTGCATAACCTCTGCCTTTTTGTAAACGCAAACTCTTTCTTCCCCTTACCTGACACACTCATCTGCATAACACATGTATTAAGCACATGCTTTAAACATTTTAAATGTTGCATTGTGTACCTGGGTTAGGGTCGGGGTTTTAGTCCTTTGACTTTGTTGGCACATTCGGCTTTATGCACACAACAGCTGCTAACTGTCAATCAGTGGAATAACGGGAAGCAGCAGGAACGTTAATGCTTTTGAACCCTGACACAGAATTGTAAGGTTGACCAAATGCATTGTACATAGTTTGATTAGAAGGGGATTATACATATTTTAAAAAACAGATTACATACGTATACAAAAAAACACAGTTTGTGTCTGGTTTGAATGTTTTTTTTAAGTTAGTCTCTTTGTCTTTAAATGTGTTGCTCACCTGAGGACTTGAAGGTGTTATTACCGTTAGTTCAGGTGTGTTTCTCTGAATTAAGTATTCCCTAAACGTACACTGGTACCACTTTCTGAGAAGGGATCCTGTAGCAAAGCTTTGTGAGTTCTAACCACCGACTGCAATAATATTAAGATTGGAATGACCTGATGGGGGGATCAATGAAGGTGTGTGCTTGTGTTTATTACATCAAGTAGATGCATGAGTGCCTCTGACCAGTGCCTAAAGAGCTTTACTGTGCATTGTGCCTTACGATTTATCACTGGATGTGGATATCGAGTACACCATTGCACTTTATATGCTGCTGCTAATTGGCCATCTTTGTCTGCTCGCAGACTTTCCCATTGGTTGGGTTTTATTTATAAATCTCTGCTTGGGTTGGTTCCCTCCTACATTTGCACATATATGTGTCAAAGAGAAAGTCTATGGCCTGCGCTCCCAAGATTTGATTCAGATGCTGGTTCCTACAGTGAGAACACAACTGGGTAAAACAGCTTTTAACATGCTGCCCCCCACAGCTTGGAACAGAAGGAGCTGAAACTCTCAGATGGAATCACTATGGCAGTATGGGGAATTCAGGTCCTTCCTAAAGGACAGAGAACACGACACCATTGGTAGATGTGAGTGCTCGTATATCCTAAAATCGTTTTAAATGTTGCCAGTTTTTAATGATTTTGAATAGTTTGTTTTACTTCGCATATTGACTGGCTTATTTACAGCTGTATTTGTCTGCCTGTCTTGTCTGTGTTTTATCTGTTGTAACTTTGTTCATGCTGCCCCTCTTGGTTAATCTCAATGAGTCTTTTACCTGGTTAAATAAAGGATATATGTATAACACAATTTCCTTTGGCTGCATGGCCACTTATCTTCCAGACTAGTGTTAGAGAGGAGGACCTCCTCACCCTTTTCTATTATAATGGCTAACATTATTTTACATAATCATTATCAGACTAACATTTTGAAACTAACGTTTCATCCAGCAGGATGGAGCAGTTCATGTTGGAGGTGTAGGGAAGCATCCCAACACAAGATCCATTTGATTTGTGTTTTACACATGATGTTGTTTCTTGTATTTCACATTGTGATTCACAATGTTCCCATTGATGTTGGATTTGAATGAGTATTGTTTCCCTTATGTTCATTCATTGAGTTTCTGTGGTTGATTTGAAGTTGGTGCCAGCCATCATGTTTGACCTCTGGTTTGTTGTTTTTGGATGCTCTTACAAGCCACAAGGACTCATTTTACAAATACAAAAGTACTTTAAGGCAAGTCAAGTATTACAATGTACAATTCAACAGACACATCTCATTCATGTCACTGTGTCTTGTTTGCATGATCTGATGTGTGCAGCTCACTCTCAAAAGTATTGTCAGGACAAATACAGAGTATAAATGCAGTTATGAAGATCTCAGAGGAGACAATTCAAGAAAGATATTGAGCAAAAAGTGATCCATGTAGAGAAAACCATGTGTTACTACTGATGGCACAACACATACAACTTTATAAAGGCTGCCTAATTATAAAAGGGTTCTCTTCATGATACAACCTGTTATGTTTAGAATGACAACAGTGAGGTGGATCTTAAGTCTGAATGTCCTGCTCGATAACTAAACCTAGTTCAAACATTTAGCAAGCTCTTTCCTCTGGAATAAGACTCCTGTTGTATCCACTACAAATCTTAGAAAAATCATGGACTTCAGATCTCAATAAATCCTAAACACATCTGATCAAATGAACACCAGTGTAGAAATGAGGTAAAAAACATGACAAAGGACACCCAACACTTCTATAGAGATTGTATTATATTTCCAAAAATATATGTACAGTCTATTACAAATGTAACAAAGCAAAAAGAATTGTCTATGTAACAAGAAATTGTCTAATTAAATCGTACAGTTCTGCTGTTGGGGAAAATACCTTTGACCAGTGCATTTTCAATACTTTCATCACAGAGAAATAAATAATAAATTGACCATTTGTATTACTGTACAACAAACTGAAACGCAAAATCAAAAGAAAGTCAAAGTAAAGATGGAACTCCTATCAGCTGTCTTTGGTCCTAAATGAAAAATGAAGTACAACTGAAATCTTGTGAGTGACAATAATTCATCTGCGAGATAGAAAAATATAGTGCATTTTCAATGTATTCAGAGCTCTCTACTGAGTAATATGTGTAAAAAACAATATAAATAAATGTACAAGTTTTACAATTAGAACATATACAAAGATCCCCTCAAAATCTCGTCTCTGACACAATCAACAGTGCTCTTTGGAACCATCCCCCCCCCCCCCCCCCCCCGCACCACTTCCAACTGCTGAACCACAAGGTTTGAAAAATAACTTCGTACTCTATCTTCTGCTCCTGATTCCAACCAGCCCTCTACATCCTGCACCTGTCTGCTTTTTTCTGCCTTTCTTACATTTTATATTCTTTGAGTTTTTTTAATATAGAGCCACAACAAAACAGTTGTTGTTGAGAGTTGAGCAGAACCTGAAGTTTGAATGTGGGTGAAACAAGCTTCTGTTAGTGAAGGTTACAGGTGACGCTGAATCGATTGCATCCTGGCCTTAATCTCAATTTGGCTCAAACTGCTGTTTCCCCAGCACAGGAAAACGGGACGTTCGGAGCCGGGGGGGGGGGGGGCGGAGTGGGTGAGAGAGTGCTGCCTGTAAACTAGGGAGTTTTGTGCTGACTGAATGACTTCATGCCGGTATTCAATTCAAAGGTCTGGCCAAGGCCCAATGCTGAGCTCTGCTGTATGGATAAAGGGAGAGAGTTGGTGACACGGCTCAGAGCGGTCAGGACTAATTCCTGGTGTCTCCTCACAAAGGTGAGTCCCACAGTGAAAGTGGATCAAAGCAGACACCCACACAAAGCCGGCTCATTGTGAGAGCACAGCTTAGGTGTAATACCGACACGCATGCTAGCTTTTTAAGGACATTTTCATAACAATCTCTGTCTTCTTTCAGCCTGGTTTCAACGCTCTCTCACGTTGTTAAAACTGCTGCTTTCTGTTATCATTCAGCATGTTTTCATAAAGCCCACTCAACAGTACTCTTCATTTCCTGTTTTCAGTTTCTGCTGTCAGTGAACATTTGATTGCAGCTCATCAGTTCTGTGCTAAAGAAAATCATAGAAAATGTGAAATTGACTGTTCAAATCTTTTGTAGGCAAAGATGCACAGGTCCCACCTTGAATGTGAGTGTGTGCTAGATAGGTTGTCCTCCATGCTTGGTAAATACACATCTCTGCATCAGGGGCAGTTAGTTAGACGATAAGGGGGATTTGAATATGTAAACTGGGATTGGTGAAATGTGCAGTTTTTTCTTTTTCTATACATTTGAGAAGGAAACAGTTGACCTGACTCTAGCTTCTGAAAACATAGATGTATAGCAGGTAGCTACAGGAGTTGAAGACATGATGGTTTTTCCTTAACACCATGACAGCTGAATCACTGCATCCTCTTATCAAAGAATGCTGCAGTGAAACATAATCAACATGGAAACTTTCTCCTTTTGTTGCATTTGAAGTGGAGACAGATGGCACGGAATAGGTTGATTGGCTTTTAGCACATCTTCTGCAAAGCCCCCTCGTCTCTGTTCTCCATACAACGCTGTATGGAGGAAAAGAGGAGCAATCTTAAGAGACACTTTAATGCATGTTCCATCACATCTTCGCCTGTGAGGGATGAGCGGAGGAGACACATGAATAAATAAGGGAGCTGCGTGGCTGGGGGGGGGGGGGTTCAACAGCACGATCCAGCTCCATCGTTTGGTCCTAATTTCCCGACCCAAACCCTGAAGGGGCTCTTTGATTTCTGGACAGCGCGTCGGTGTCCGGAAAGGATGTCAGCATGGCTAATGGAGCCTTCCTAGTGTTCAAGCGGTGCCTCTTTCATCGCCGCATCACTTTAACATTTCCACGCCATGATGGATTTCCATCAGACGTTTAGCATATCATAGCGGCAAAATACAACATGATTATTTCATCTGATGACTTGGCACGGCAGTTTTTCCGAGCTCTTTCCGAACCGGTTTTGGGTCAAAGAGGTACTTTCCTTTCCGAGGGTGACTACTTCTTTCCAGAGGGTTAGTCTCAGCACAGCACACACATTTGATAAAACCTTACAAATCTCAGGTGAGGACCGGTTCTACCTGGTAATTATTGCTCTGTTTAGTCCTACTCTTCTTCGCTCACCGTGTCTCACTTTCACCAGTTCAAGATTAGTCAGCGATAAAAAGACATCACACTACAAGAAAAACTTGTCGACCCTTTAAATGAATGCAGAAAGCATTGCCATTGAAGACCCTAAAATAGTGGCAATTCTTAAGCTAACACTTTTTAAGGCAGTATTACGTCTACAATGTTTTTGGAGCCACCTTTAAAAACTGGATTTGCAGCTCAACAATGCACCGAAACAAACACTGTGTGCAACATTTTAGGTAAAACGATGGCAAAACTATTGGTGGCTTCAATTTCAATAAAGTATTTCAACAGTGCTGCAACATTCTACTCAATAACCAAGCGACTGCGTTTCCTGTGGTGAACAGTAAGACAAGGATATTGCTACTCTGATATAAAAGTCTGCTGATTCTCCTGCGTCTCTTCAGTGTTGCACTCTTCAGAACATTCTAGAATAAAAAACATTGAGAGGTTGAAACCATAAAACCCTCTCCTTTACCCTGTAGTCAAATCCAAATACAAGAGAGAAACAAACTGCTGCATGTGCCAAACATGTCATCGTAGCAGACAGAAAGAAAACTAACAAATTAGACAAGTTGTTTTTTTTGTTCTTTTTAGAGAGAATCCTAAGCCTCGGTGTGCATTTCAATCATTCATTAAGTTCAAACAGAAGTCCTTTCCAATGCACCCTTTGATATGTGGTTGGGTTCATAAGCGCTTCTAACGAAAGTAAGTAAAGAAAGTCATCTGGTTCAGGTAGTTTCTTTTTTGTTGCGGTTGTTTGTCCTTTTCCTCTCTTCAGTGCCTGTGAAGAGGCGGAGCGAGGAACAAAGGAATGTTTCACTCCAGACACAGCCGAGGAGTCCGACACGAGCTTTGACCGTTTGTCCCGGGTACGTCCCATAAGTTCTGGTAGAGTTTCTCATGATGCAAACTGCGGGTCACACCTGGACCCCTGTGCCGTGGAGGTGCAGCATCTGGGCTCTCATAGTCTGTATGCTGCTCATGATCTTCTTCTGATGGCCCACCAGCGAGATCCCCAAGCTCATCACGTCACTGAAACACAGGAAGGGGCGGGACTAAGATCAGATATACTTTATTGATCCAAATTGGGACATTTCCGTCACAGCTGCACACGGGAAAACTGAAACGTGGCTTTAGTTAAATGTATCATGTCAACTCATTTCACACATCAGGTTAGTTGAAAGCAATAATATGAAGTTGATATTACATTGCTTTCAACTAACCTAAATACATAATAAATGTCATTTTGTTTTTTTAGAGCATTTAAAAACGAGGCATTGAAAAATATAAACATCTCAAAATAGTGAACAAAACAGAACTAAAAAGGAACATATTTAGAAGTTGACGTGAAATAAACACTATGAAGGGCCAAATGACAGCGCAACAAAAAGAAGAATATTATTCAGAAAGTGAGGAAACACTTCATTCAATGTACAGTATGAAGAGGAGTCCAGTTATAAGTTATGAGTCCAGTTAACCAAAGTGACGAATCACAGGCTGAGCTGCTTTCACCATGGTCCAATGGTAAAGGGTAACAAAGGCAGCTAAACATAACGTGTCCATGTCCAGGATGATGGAGCAAACCGGTACAACTCAAGTCTTTTCTTGGAAGTGTGTTTGGAAAGTTTATTTGAAGGCCTTGAGCTTTTTACAGGATGTGGAGACGGATGTTGACATCTGATGGTCAGGGAGTCTGAGTCACTGATCCAGGGCCAGCCACAGTCTAGCTGCTGCTCATATTCAGCTGCTCTCAACTACAGTGACACACAGCAGAGAGTTCACACAGGTTCAAGACCCTGGTGATGAGGACTCGCTAATAAGAGTCTTAAAGCTCTTGAGTCCCAAACATGAGATGGAATGTGTGCTCCAAGTAACCAATGAACACAACCAATGAGACCTCATTTATTCTGTATTTTAGTGTCATTTACGTTACACTGATTTGATCATGACATGGGTAACATGGAGGCAAACAGGAGCAAATCATGAACAGAGATCTCTTACTAAAATATTGAAAGTATACGTTCAGTATATGGATAGTAATGCATCAAAGAAGAATAATGGCCTAGTTATCTCTGCAGTTTGGGTAATTGAAGGCCCAGGCCAATTTTTAAAATGTATGGTAATTTACAGAAACCTCATTGGATGGTCTGCCAACACTCTGCCTGAAAACAAAATGCAGCTACTTGGGTTTGCTTATTTAGGGTTGGCAAACAGGAAGCGTAGGTAGGTGAGATAAGAGTTGAAATGTGCCTGGTGTTATTGTAATGTTCTCCTCTGAAGTTTAAGCACTGGAGGGCTTCCTCTCTACTCACTCGATTGACATCCTGGCCACAGATTCCAGGGAGCTGTAGCCCGCCGCTGTGAAGTTGTCTCTGTATCGCTCCATCTTGATGGCTTCCAGCCACTCTCCTACTGAGCGGAAAGCGGTGAAGTCTGGTGTGCTCTGATCCAACAGCGGACTAATTGGTCTGCGGGATGAGCAGAAAGATGTTTATTTCTTATGTGAAAAGGAAACGTTCCGCTGAAAACACAATCAGGCAGGAGACGAGACAAACTGACGACTAAAGGCATCCAGCGGTGCGGCAAATTGCGAGAAGGGGAAAAAGCAGCTGATTGGAGGCTTCAATCAATAACATATTCATAAACAGATGCAGCATTTCAGCTTTCTGCGTCTGAAAAACATGTTCTCAATACCTCTTCAATCTGAATACATTCCTCACATATAGACACATAAAGACAAAGTGCTTTTGAACCAGCTGTAACCTCTCCATCTCACCTCAGGGAAGTCTCTTCTGACTGCAAATAGAATTCATCTGACAAACGTCAGAGTGAGGTCTGGAGTTCCCACTGCACTTTAAAGTAGCAGGAACTCATTACCAGGATTGATTTAAAAGCCCTGCGATTGACCATAAAGCCATGGAAGCTGCTTTGGGGTATCGATCCCCCAGGATTTATCTTTCATGTGTGAACTACAGAGGCTAAGTCATCCACTGGACGCTTTGGATCATCCACTAATGCACTCAAAGAAAAGTTCTTATTGTACGAAGACACATTTTAAAGTGGTTCCTTTGGGGTTTACTCCCTCACCTTGTACATGTTCCCACTGGGGTTTTCAAGGTGTTAGGGTTGCGGATCATCTTATCGAGGATGCTGACTATCTGATCGAATTTTGGACGCTCGGCTCTGTCCTTCTGCCAGCAGTCCAGCATGAGCTGGTGCAGGCCGGGGGGGCAGTCCATCGGAGCTGGGAGGCGGTACCCCTCCTCTATCGCCTTTATGACCTAGAGGATGCAAAACAGAGAGTCGTTAGTATCCTTAATAAATAGCTTTTAATATCACAATACCCCACAGTACACACACAGTGGCAGCTTAGAGAGGAGCTGAGATAATACTTGGCTGTTGTTTGTGTCCCTACGTGTCTGTAGTGCCGTTGGCAGAGTTGGCAGAGTTTGGTGTAACGCGTTACAAAGTAACTATATTAATAATAAGTAATTATATTAACGTGTAACGCGCTACTTTTATAATTCAGTAATCACACTACAGTTACTAACATTGCCCCGACACGCGTTACTTCGTTACTTACTAAAATCAGTCATAATCATCACATTGACAGACAAGAGGGGTTTCCGCCGCAGGTTTATATGTACGTAATCTGCGCGTCCACATCTTCACGTGCAGTGCTGCATAAACATGGCTGAGTCAGCGATAACTCTCGAGGGGTGGAGTTATGCCCATTACTTTCAGTTTGTCCGAAGAATAGACAGGAATGTGACGGTGAGGTGCAAACTGTGTCCAGGCCAGAAGCTGTTATCCACTGCTGTAAACACCACGTGGTCAAACCTCAACAAGCACCTGCAAAGAACACATGCTAAGGTGAAGCTACCGCACACGCTATTTGTTGTTTGTTTATATCACGTAGTCTGTTCTTCTTCTCTGTCTTCCGGTTGTTGCCTGTTTTGAATGACAAATACACACTACCGCCGCCTGCTGGTAAGGGGAGTTATTGCCACTCACGCATGCGCAGTTCGTACGTGCTCGGCTGAAGTCTTTGCGGTGTGCTCCAGTCTGGTTCCAGTGCAACACATGGCCAACACGCAGGAGAACCATGGATGCACGCCGACGCAACAGCGTGAGCAGAGATATACTGCGCAAAATACAGATAGCAGGAGACAGAGGACAGCCATGGTCAGATAGGAAAACATGCAGGATCTGGATCAGTCTTATGCGACAATGGAAACTGAACTAAAGAGAACATTTGAAACTTTAGCAGTCTGCGTGATCTGCCTGCAGGGAGGGGCGGGCCGGCCCTGCGAGTAAAGTAACGAGTAAAGTAACGAGTTACTTTATGTAGAGAGTAACGAAGTAGTGTAATATATTACTTTTTTTTAAAAGTAATATATAATATATTAATTTATTTTTAGTAACGACCCCATCTCTGGCCGTTGGTGAACAGCATTTTATAATAATAAGACATAGCTGATACTGACCAAAACAAAGAATGGGATATTCAGTGTGTGATAAATAAATGAACTTTGTGTTTATCCAGCTCAGGCAAAATAACAGAGCTTTTGTCATGTACTGATCCAGAGGTTATGCATGTTTGATCAGTCCTTGATACCTGGGGCTTTTCTCTCGCTGGGCTCAGTCAGGAAACAACCTCCTGCTCTCACTGCGTGCTAACTGCTGCAGCTTTGAAACGACTCCTTATGAGATGGGATCATATTACACCTATCTTTGACTGTCTTTACCGCAAATGTATAAAAGATGTTCTGATAACGCTTAAGGCACGGCAGGACTACTTTGGATGGTTACACTGTAGTATTTCAGCAGGTTAGATACCCCAGTGCAACGGAAATTCTAATTTGAATCTCGCTCATTGTTCATGCACTGAAACGTTGACTTTAATTACATGTATTATATCTACAGATGTCTTATAACTGTATACGGTTAGTTGCCAGCAATAATATTAAGTTTTTAAAAAATAATATTAGGTTCAGTTTTATATTATTTCTATCAACTAACCTAATACAGTTATGTGAAATGTGTTATAATACATGTAATTAAAGTCAACGTTTCAGTTGTTCAGTGTGTGTGCAAACAAAAGGCCATATTTATTCAGCTCTGACATGGAACCTTAGAACCTCAAATATATCATGACTCTCCATCAGGCATGCAGTTTGCAGCGATGTCATTAAAAGTCAATAGCATGAGAACAGGAGGGGGCACTTTGATGTGAGCCCTCGCTCTATTTCCTTTATTGTGTCGAATAAGGAGCTGCATTTATTCATCAGCTACTTCTGTCAGGACCGCTCAGAAATGATGAGTCATGGAGGGAAAATGTGTCAAAACTGAACTGAAACTGTTGGGAAAATGCAAATAACGTTCTTCCTGCTTCCCCGCACGATGTTTGCTGTCATCTTGACAAAGTGCAAACATTTCTGACATTGATGTCTGTCAAGTAGCACAGCATCAAAACACCACATCTGCCACTATAACGCCCGGACATCTTGTTTAGCATTTCTCACATCTGATTGTTCCGTTAGCATGCCTCTCTATTTACCTAATATATCATATTCCAGTAACTTGCATAAAGACTCTTATTGCACTATTTCACTTTTTGTATTACTATTTACTTGCACTATATTGGTCTGTTTATCTGTGTTTTGTGTTGCTCTGTTGGAGGAGCCTGTGACCTAAGATTTCCATCGGCATAACTACACTGTGGCTATGTTCGTATGACTAAATAAAGAACCTTGAACCTTGAGTGTTGGAGAATCCTGGTGATGTTCAGACCTGATGCTGAACTTCCCCTTATAGGAATCTGAAGCCCTGGAATAACTGGCCATCTGCCATCACAATGTGTGAGTGTGACAATAGGACAGCGTTAAGGGTCTGACACAGTCGGACTCGCTCTGTGGGAGTTTCCATGAACACCATGAGACTGTGGCTGAGTCAATCATTACAGCTATGTGTGACTTTTGTAGAGAGGAGAGTGGGACTTGAATGTTTTCTGTGTGAGAAAGAACACTCTGGGCGATGTCAGGAGTTGATGGTAAGACACCTTAAAGATTCTCTGATTAAATAACAACACCGAGAACACCGAAAAGACTGAAACGTTGAATTGAATTACGTGCATTAGTCAATGTTTCAGTTTGTTCAGTGAACGTAGTCATCTCTAAATGCTACCAGTTCTAGCACACTGAGTTTTACAACCTCAGCAGAAGTTGTAGAAACCATTTGCAATGTGTTGTGCAAAACAAGACAGATACAAACTATGTCCTGCTCCTGGGGCTTTATGAGTTTCATTGAAGCGTGTCAAAAAAATTCTAGATGAGATAACTAAAGAAGTACTCTATCATTTAATAACACTTCATAAAGATCGTTTATATTAAAAAAAAGAGTAGGGACCAAACCAGAAGCTGAGATATCCTGACATTTACATACAAAGCATTTGTCCGGCTCTAAAATCACTGGATCCTTCATTTCCCATAATGCAACTCATAACATACTTTCATGAGACCCTGACTGGCTGATATATTTTGAACACAGTTTGTAATGCAGGCTTTCTGTAATAGAAATGTGGTCGCAATGAAAAAGCTCAGATAACCTTGATGTCATCACTATCATCCGTTTGTTCTCAGGCAAAGCAATCCAAGACATTTTGAAACTTTTTCCACAGGTTGGCCCTGAAGGGGAAACTCATCTTGATGTGTAGAATTGATAAATAGTAACTTTAAAAATATATATTTTGTTTAAATTCTGGATTTTAGAAACAAAGCCATCAGTGCAATGCACACTGGGAAAAATGCATGAGCTGCTGCTGTAATTGGTTCAACATTGCTACTCACTCTGGTTCACATTTCCATAAGTAATTATAAACTTTTAAAGACATTAGGGTCAAAAGCTTTCTGCATGACAAGTGTTTTCCATTCCTGTAATTTATAATAATACCAGAATCAAATCCATGTTCGCCGGACTTCATTTTTATGCGTGTCCCATTTCAGGACTGTTTCTCCTTCAAATGGATTCAAGCTGCATGAATAAAACGAGACTTCCTGAACTAATTAAGCCCAAGGTTAGTGCGTCGAAACGGTTCTCTGGAGGGACCTGCACGGAATCCTCAAAGAAGAACCACAAACTGGGATCTTTGTCTGGGATGTTCTGCGTTTAAGTGGGATGACTTCATTAGAGATAATTAGGGACGGATCTGGGGAATAACCCTCTTTCAGATGAACGTTAGTGAAATATTCTTCTCCCAGATATGAGAAACGCTTCATATCCAGTGTGCTAATCGTCTTTTATAATAGCTCGTGTCCGCAATCCATGATCTAAGGTTAAGAAACTCCAGAAAGGAAATATAAGAAAATAATATAAATGCCCAATTGCAATATTTAAAAATGATTTGAGAATTTTCTCAGCAGGTAACTTCAACTTGATGTGCTCGACAGACTCTTACACATAGTTTCAGTAACTTAAATACTTTTTGTGATGTAATGTCGACTTTAATTAAATGTATTATGTCAACAGATTTCACATAACAGTATGTGGAAAAAAATAATATTAATTTAAAAAAAGAAATATGATATGATATAATATTGATTCAAGTAACCTAATGCAGTTATGTGAAACTTGTCGACATAATATATTTAGTGAATTCAGGTTTTTCAGGTTTGTTTTGTAGCTTACATCTTGGTTGGACATGTCCCAGTAGGGCCGCTCCCCATAGGACATGACCTCCCACATGACGATGCCGTAGCTCCATGCGTCGCTGGCCGAGGTGAATTTACGATACTGGATGGCTTCCGGCGCCGTCCACCTGACGGGGATTTTGCCACCCTGTTCAGTAAAACGCAGGTCAGTGGCTGGAGCAAACATCACATTCATTATATCCTGCATCTTCCCCTAAAATATCAATTAGAGAGAATTCAGAGTTACACAGGGTCAGAGCACATAACAACAACTTCTCCACAATCTTATACAAAATATACTGCATTCTAATAATGTCATGAGTTAATCACTGCCTTAAGCAATTACAGATGGATCAAAAACAAGATACCAGTTATTTAATTAGTTATTGTTAGACATTATTACGTTTTTAACAGCTTGTCCACATGATTTTTAAATGGAGATAGAATGTAAGAAACTCATAACCAATACTTAGTTTTTTACATGTACGGTATCTTCAAGTACATTAAAATGTTAACCTGATACAATATATTGTCAACATTATATTTGAGTGTAAATGATTTTTTTAAAAAAAATTAAAAAACTAATTCTCAAATGTGAAAATTCTGGACATGCACCTTATTATTTAGTAAAGGAAAACAGTTGGTAAATCATTTTCTGACAATACATTAATAAGTTAACTGGGTTTTTTATCATTAAATAAAATACGATTTCTCTCATATTTCCTGCATATTTCTGTCTCGTCTGGTATTCCTTATTTTTACAAAACATTACGAAACATCTTGCTCTGCATATTAAGAAGGCTACAGACTACTTGGGCGTGCAGCAGCTCTTCTGCTCTAGACTTGATTAGAGGATTCAGGTGCGGGTAGACAGACTGTAATGGACTCACAGTTGTTGTGTAGACAGCCTCGGGATCGTCGTCTATCACCCTTGACAGGCCGAAGTCAGACACTTTACATACAAGATTGCTGTTGACAAGGATATTTCGAGCGGCCAGGTCTCGATGGATGTATCCCATATCGGAGAGATATCTCATTCCTGCCGCGACGCCCCGCAGCATGCCCACCAGCTGGATGACTGTGAACTGACCATCGTGGTTCTGAAAGAGAAACACAGCAGGTCAGCCATCTTCTCTGACCAGGAGGGAGATGCAGCTCTGCAGCTCTGCAGCTCTGCAGCACAAGATGTATGATATGTATATATCCTACTGCAGACTGCTGGAACACTCTCGAGCAAACACAAGAAAAAGTTAGGAAGATGCTGCTCGGAGCCTCCTGAAGGTGACTCACCCTGAGGAAACCATCTAATGAGCCGTTCTCCATGCACTCGATGACAATCATCACCGGTTTTCCTGGAGAACAAAATGATGGACGACAGAGAAGATGATTCATTAATATCTGATTTGATTTGCTTGTAAGGTGCATCATAATAAACAACCGTGCCCAAATTGCTTCCAAGTTATTTTTAGCTGTGTACTTCATTGGCGTTTAATTAAAAGTTACCATCTGCTCCTTTTATTATAATGTCTAAATGAGAAAATGTTAAACAAGGTTTGTAGATAATGTAATCAGATATAATGTCACTCTAACTACGGCACTTTCACCTCCCAAGGCGAAATACACTGAAACTGATCCTGCTGGATTCTTAAACTCCTCTTGACTGAAACATTAGGTCCAGGTAGTGTTTACCTCTTGTCACGACTCCCTCCAGATGAACCACATTGGGGTGGTCGAACTGTCCCATAATGCTGGCCTCGCACAGGAAGTCCCGCCTCTGCTTCTCTGTGTAGCCTACTTTTAACGTCTTGATGGCGACGGACACGTCCCGCTTTCCAGGAAGCTTGAGCCGGCCGCTGCACACCTCCCCAAACTCTCCTGAGCGGGAGCAAAACGTTTATCAATAAGATTGGGGGGGTAAAGAAAAATGAAGCGCTTCTCCATGACAAATGTATTAGAGTACTTTGAGACAAAGCAGCTGAGCAGTAGTGATACAAATTGTGTGAGAAATGTTTGAAGGACGTGGCATTTTAGTCCACTTAATTAAAAAGCCTCTTTCCTGCGGAGGCCGTTGTAACGTTGCATCATATCATATTTATGTAGCGATCCAGACGGCACATAGTCATAAACGATTAACATTAACTTCGACATTCAAAGATAGTTCTCTGTATAATCCAATAAAACAAAAAGATCTGTTCAACCATATATATAGACATCCATGTCATGAGACTTAAATGAAGTTTATTCTAAAGATATGTGCAGATATTCAAACAACAATAATGACATTCAAGTAGAATGGCTGTCTCAGATGGTGTCTTACTCAACCCAGACCTATAGTCAAACGTGCTGGAGAGGATACTGTCATTGGCCACCTCTGATAAAGTAGCCCCCCCCCCCTCCCCGCCATCCACCAGACCATCCCACATTAATTGTATGAACCTTTCCCAATCTTTGCAATCGCGCTATCAATATACAATGCATTGCGCTGTGTCAAGGTGTAAATATGTGGCTGTCAGTGTGATGTATGAGCACAGAGTGACTAAACACCAAGAGGGGTGGGGGGGGGCTCACCTGCTCCGATAACCCGCTCGATTTTAATGCAGGAGGCGTCCAGCTCCTTGGCAAATTGATGGACAGCCCTGTTAGGGTCCTCGTAGGTTTCAGGGTCAATGTAGGTTTTGGTGCCTGGAAATGTAACTGTAGAAAGGTAAGAGGATTACTGTTATGATTAAATATGCCGCATGCACCGGCGGGCACTTGGCAGGCAAACGGTTACAAAGAGCAGCCATTCAGAAGGAATGGCTGAGCAGTCGGCGGCCGGTCAAAAGGCTTTTCTCTGGGGAGAATCCTTCACAAAGCAAAGTTTGAGTAACCCGTGCTCGGTGATTTTATGAGGCTGTTGGTTAGCTCTCACCTCCTGCAGCTCACACTACCTCACGGAATCATTTCTCACCACTTTATCCACTTCTCATGCTTGGTGGTTTACACATGATATCATTAATGTCATCATTATTATTAAAAGTATAACAGCAAAAACAAATAGACATGTTTATATGGAATAAAATACATATTTCATTTTAAAACCAGCCTTAAATACTTGACTTGAAAACTTTTCCTCTCTTTGAATTCATACTAATTTATTTTTTAAATTTATATCCTAATTAGGATATAAAGGAAAATATATTTCTGTGATAGATACATGTTACAAAAGGAATTCAGACACTCCTAGGAGTTTTCCAAACATACATATGGGTTAGGAATTACAATTTTGAAAACCAAATAAACCTTGATGAAATGCCGTATAACTATAAAGATACAGGAACAAACGACACTGCTACAATAATCTGGAGAGATTATGATATGAGAAGAGGGCATGAATATCCATAACATGAGGGTGGAAGCAGTTGGCAAAACAAAAAGGTTAAAGTGAGGCCAGCGATGGGTTTACATTCTGCACAAATTAACAACAAATGACACTATAATGAACTACTAAGTGAACACACCACTCATGGGGGCGATTATACAATTTAAATTCCACTGATAACAATGTAACCTGTCAGCTTTCATATTTAATGAGCTTCTACAGCAAAAATGCAGCGGGCACACGCTGGACCATCACAACACAATAGAAGCTCATAAGAGACACGTATTCTCTGTATGGAGAGCAGCGTAAATACAACAAATGCATTGTGCTCCAGAGGGGGGACGCCGGCAGCAGAGATTTCCCTCCACTTGCTTCCATAATTGCGTCGTCCATCCGAGATGTCAGTAGATCTGATAGGAAATGTCTTATCACAAATTCCTCGCCGCTACATGGCAGACAAATTGGGTCTACATGTTGAATTTGCGTTATCTAGCTTGTGTCGCCGTGGCAGCCTCTCGTCATCTGATACCGCACGGCAGATGCTTCACTGAGCTGCTGAGGTGCGTCTGCCGCACACTCTGTGGCACCCCTGACCCTTTGTTTCCAAATCAGCAGTTTGCCTACAGCGAGGATCATTACGGCGGCTCTCGGGGAGGCTGTCTGCAGCTGGATCTCCAGGGGCTTCATTAGGGGGGTGTTTCAGAAGGCCTCCGAGCAGCCTCTCGGACAGAGCACAGTCACACACCTGAAACTCTGTCGCTCACTAAACCTGTCTCACTTTTCTTTTAGGAACGCTTCTTCCTCACGGGTCAACCTGTACTCGCTCTAACAGCTGTCACATTCATGCGTTTGTACTTTCCTAACTTCTTCATCTGCACAGACCGAGTGCAGCCAATCAGCAGCAGATGTGAGCATCATGGTGCTCAGTAATGACCCAAAGCAGATGAACTGGGATCAAACACCCAGGCCTGCACTGAAAGAACTCAAACGTTGACTTTGATTAAACGTTTGATATCAACAGAGTTCACATCACTGTATTAGGTTAGATCAAAGCAATAATATTAAGTTTAACTTAATATTTGTTTATTCAAACTTAAAATTATTGCTTTCATCTAAACTAATAAAGTTTTGTGGAATCTGTTGACATAAAATACTTAATTAAAGTCAATGTTTCATTTTTTCATCCATGTAACAAGATTATTTTCTTTATGGTTTATATATATTCTTCTCTATTTTAAATACATGTATTTTGTAATGCAGTAGGTGAGGCTCCCTACCCACTCTGTTCAGTATACAGTGAAGGAAAGTAATAATGATGTGTGTGTGTGTATGGCATGATGACTGCAGGTACTCACACTGGAAGTAGAGCTCCTCGTCTCCCTCCTGATCAGCTTTGCTGTACCCGCAGTGCCTGCACGGGGGGGGGGGGGAGAGTGGCGGAATCAACTGATTGTGCGGAGGAAGTAAATGCCCTAAATTACAAGAATTTTAATGCGGCAACTAATGCTGTGCATGACAAATCTCCTGAGAGGCTCAGCTGAGCAGCTGGAGCCGTGAACTGCACGGCTTCCAGCCTGGGAGCGTGGCTGGAGTATCTAATCATGTTACATATCAAATAAAACATGTACTGTAAAGGACTGTTCAACAAGTCTCGTAATATTCATTTATAATATTAACGTGTTGAAGGTTCCTTCAAGTTGCTGCACAAAGATGCTCTTTGAGCACAACAGAAAAGAGGATGACGTGCGAAGATGAAATAAGCCACGAGTGATGGACGTGCACTGAGTGTGGATGAAGTGGCTGTGTGTGCAGCGACCATTCATACTGCCGAATACAACTGAGAACACTGCCACTATATCCAGAGATATGTACAACTACTAACACGTCTCAAAGATAAGCACATTTGGAGTCATCCATGGTCCCAAAATCATAAACAATGTTGGGGGGGGGGCACCTAATATAACATCTTATGGATCAGACCAGCTCCCAAGCACAGCATTCTAAAACAGAAAAACGAAACTGGACCCTACAAAGTCATGGATTAACGGTCAACATAATAAATAAGAGATATTTTGAACTAATAAAACATGTTCATAGATTGTCTCATAGATAAGCACATTGGGAGACATCGATGTTCATTTATCATGTTCATAAACATGCAGCGGCTCAGTCAGTTGGGGCTTGGACTGTGAGCCGTAGGGTCGCCGGTTCGAGTCCCCGACCAGACCTAAATATGGAGTGTGACTGCTACTTGGAGAGATCCCAGTTCACCTCCTGCCCTGCCGTGGTGCCCTTGAGTAAGGACACCCCCCGAAAAGTCATGGTTTACTGGTAAACATTACAAATAAATGATGGGCTTTGGGCTTTGCATGGTGTGCTGACCAGTTTGTCAAATACAAATGTTTCCAGAGAAGTCTGATTCTCATGAACCCACCATTCAAAGTTCTGATGAAATGCCATTCATGCAGATGAAAGCACAGAAGAGAGGTGAAGATGGTTATGACAATGGGCTGGCTGCTTTGTGCCATACTTCATCCTGCCCTGCGGATCTCACACACTCAGACACAGGAATGCAGAGCTCTCGCTCTCTCGCACTTGTCTCATAATGGCTCTGTAGAAAATAGCTTCAGATTTGTGTTGGGGGCTCGGGGAAAAAAAGCATCACAACCCATTAGCACAGCATGCCACGAGATGATGGGTGCACGTGTGTGTGCGTGTGACGACTCCACAGTGTGGAGGCCCGTGAGTGACAGAAAGGCTAATTGACAAGCGCAGACTCACAGGAGCGGAGAGTCAATGGGGCCCGCGAGAGCGTACCTTCTCCCGATGATGAAGCCGAACACCATGAACACAAGGATGATGGTCCCCGCCACGGCCACCACCGCGATGATGATAACGGGGTTCTGCTCGCTGGAGACGATCGTGGCTGATGAGACCAACACACACGTAAACACACGGACACACATGCAGAGAGGCAGAAACGCTCATCACAACAAAGAACACACTCTGCAGGTCACACACTGAAAACTGAAATGTTTACTTTAATTAAATGTGTTATCTCAACAGATTTCATGTAATTGTTTCTAGGTAAGTTGAAATCAATAATATTAAGTTGAACCTAATATGTTTTGATTTAAACTTAGTGTTATTGCTTTCAACTAACCCAATAGTATGTAGTGTGTTTAGATACAATGCCTAAATACAGGAAGGTAAACAACTTAGATGAAAATGGGGAACATTTAACATTTGAATATAAAGCTTTATTGCTACTCTGTGCCATACTACATTCAACTTGTTCTGCTGCTATGTATTGTTACTTTACGCTGACGGATACAAACAGGATGTATCGGTGAGCTGAAGTAGGCCGATATATCAGCACATCTGATTTCAAGGTTTCACTTTCCCAGTGCAATCTGCAGGACATAATTGAGCCCAATGAGATGCGAGGAGATTGATAACCCCCCCTCCTCGTCTTTCCTCTGGAGGAGGGACGCTTCTATTTTAGAGCCGTCCTTATACACACGGCTCTACTGTTTCAGAAAGTGGGCTTAATAGTCCCAGATGGCGACGGCAATGCCCTTCATCTCAAACAAAGACACATTCAGGTTGGATTGTTTCCCGCTCGGAGCCCCCACAGTGTGCACATGCTTGGTGTTGACAAACTGTTGATTGCGCCGAAGAATGGATTGCCGTAGCTTCATATAAAGTCAACGCCAGTGGTGTATTAGAGGAAAAAGTCATGCATTTTAAATCAAGTGGATCTGCACCCTCTTTTGTGGCCTCTCTGAGGGGCTTTAGTATGTGCCGACAGTAGATCAGGTGAAGCTTCAATATGTCACTGTATGTTGGTTTTGGGAGGAATTAGAGCAGTTCACATTTAAATTAATATTACACATGTTCAGGTTTCCCTTTTGAAGTGGATGACAGAGCGGGTCAAGGACATTGTGAGTGAACAGTAAAGTTATAACCTTGTTGCAGGACACACTCTGTATGTGGTATGAGTAATTAATATGTCCTTTAACGCAGACATGTTGGGGTCATTGGGTGGGCATGTTGGGGTTTGGAAATATGGGGTTCTTTAAGTACTAGCGGATGGCTAAACACACTGTTAAAAACTGAAGCGTTGACTTTAATTAAATGTATTAAGTTGAAATAACTTAATTTTAAAGGTCAACGTTTCAGTTTTGTTCAGTGCATCCTGACAGTAAGGCTGATATAAATGTTCTTATCTCGAGGAAAACAAAGATAATATAATCTGAATATTCCTTTAATGTAGCACATGTAACGTAGCATTGAGAGGAAAGTGCTCCATTTTCTAAGTTGGATCTACATAGTTTTCGCTCAGTTAAGTACTGAGGTGCAAATAATTAGTGTTCTATAACGTGCACATAATAAACAAAATAGTACCTGGCTGTGTTTAGAATGTAGGGAGAAATTAAAATGATCCAAAAAATGCCATGTTGTAACAACATTAGTTTCTTCTTTGGTTATAAGAGCTGTTTTTGCTTGATTTTTGGATGTCTTTGGGAAAACTCTGTAACACAACCTCTTGTGATTGTTAACAATATATCTTATAATGCTAACACACACAGCTCACAGCCGCACCTGTAACCTAAACACACACTGCGCCTCTCAGGGCAGAGCTAATGTAACTTATTAGATTGAAATGAGTTTATCCTCATGACACTGCGGCTTGTCCTTGTGCTTAGTTATTTCTCCCATGACGTGTTGTCAGCATAAAGTCAAAGCAATTTGTGTTTGCTTAGCTTAAACGCAAATCATTTCCCTGGGTTATTACTACAGTAGCTGGAAACATTAACAGGTTGTGCATATATTTGAAGTTAAAAGCCTTTGCTGTGATATCATTTACTGATATACTGCTGCCGTCAAACTGTCCTTGTGTTAGATGCTTGGCATTGGTGCATTTGCAGACATACTAATGTTCTCTGTGGGCTTTTCACTCAAAACATCAGACAGGTGCAAACTGCAGGGAAAGTGGGAATGAACCCTGAAACTGTATCCAATGAAAAGCAGCAAAGCCCGAGGGTACGATATACAATGTGTCACTTAATGCCAAACTAAGAGACATCTTCCTACACTGAAAAAACTGAAACGTTGACTTTAATTAAAAGTATTATGTCAACCATTTTTACATATCTCGATTAGGTTAGTTGAAAGCTATAATATTGAGTTGAACCTAACGTTTTTTATTTAAATCAAACGTTTATGACATGAGTAACGCAGCAGTATTAGGGTTGTGTCTAGTTGCATTGGTGGGCTGTTCATACTTGTGGTTTCTTCTTTGGTGGTGATCTCCAGGCGGGGGCCGAAGGTGCCGTAGCCCGCCTCGGTGAAGGCCCGGATCTGGAACACGTAGGAGGTGCTGGGCTTAAGGTTGTTCACTGTGGCCGACGTGGACTTGGACCTGACTGTGGAGTACACCCGGTCCTTTTGATCCTGAACAAGGAGAACATCGTGTTTTATTGAAACATTTATCTCTTAACATTTGGGCGAAGAGAGACAACATCCAACAGCTGTTTGATGGTTTGGTTTGTAAAAGGAATAACCATGATTTAACAATGTTTATTTCAAATAGATACACAGTGTTGCACTTTAGTAAACATATCACATTTAGTAGTCATTTTAATATCAAGTTTAATAAGTATAGAGTACAAGTTGTATAAGAACTTTAGATATTTGTAGCTGCAGATAGAATTGTAAACAGTCACGAGAGACATTAGAAACCTTTGTTTAAGGTGTTTTTATGATTATCGTATATCTCTATAGTCTCCCTGTTTTGCTGTTGCTCTCATACATTCATCCATGTTTACCTGAATCTTCATTTGATCATAATAATGTATATTTCCACAGCACTAATTCCATCAGTACAAACATGTCAAACTCACCACTGCCCTATTGGAGGATTTAAAGAATGAAAGAACATCTTAACACCTCATTTCAACCTCCAGGGCTGAGGAGTGATGCATATTAGGAAGTGCCCAAAAAGCTTTTTGTTTACGAATTCATGACAACGTTATAGTTATATTAAAGGCATAAAGTGGTGCAGTTTAAGGGGTGTGGCCTCTTTTAGTGACATAAGGATGCTAATGTTACTCATTTTGGATTAGTTTGGAGTTGAAACAGGCGAAGGCAACCTGAGGATGATTTCACAGAGACCACCTCTCTATTTCATACAGTCTATGATCCAAAGTGAGATTATTATCCTACAGTTTGACAGCTCGCCACATATAAAAAACTCTTCTTCATCAGGGAGTGTATTTGGATGCACAGGCAGCACGTAATGTTTGCTGTTGATCTGTAAATGGTTTGTTGGGAAAGCTCAAATGGAATGTCAGGGTCTGTTAGGGCTGTAGTTGTTGTTTCCAATGTTCCACTTTTACAGCTGGGCAGACCACAGGCACCGTACGTGATGCAGCAGACTGATCGTCAGAGTGAGCCACAGAACAGCTACCCTGCCTTTTATTTGCCCCGTTAAACCTCGCTGTAAAAGGCTGATGTGTTCAGACTTGAAACACAGGGATGCAGCGCTATGATCTATGTGGAAGGACATAACAGATGACTTATTCTGCCAGTATGTGTTCTAACATGTGCACGGGGCGGCTGGGAAAGACTACAGCCTGATTAAAATCTTATGAGCATCTCATTCATTATTGCAATTATGAGACAAAGAAGGTACTTGCAGAATCTTGTGAATTCCACTCGAAGCAGCATGCAGATAGAATATGAAATGAAGAGTCTGCAAAAGTGAATGTGAAGGGAAGGAATGGAGGGCAGAGCGTTTCAGGAAGAGACGAAGACACAAATGAACTGTTCAAATCACCTTCTCGTAGTATTTGATTTCGTACTCTGTGATGACCCCGTTGGGCTGCTGGGGCTCCTGCCAGGACAGCTGGATGCTGCGCTGCTGCACCTTCTCCTTGATGACCTCGCTGACCTGGGACGGAGCTGTGGAGACCAGAACATTTCGGTAAGGGGGGGTCTCTCTGAATGCACATGCATAAAGCGAACCACAAATCATCCAACAACTCTGCGGCCCTGCCAGCTCACTCTCACTGACAAAACTGATACATTCCATTTCATTAAAGGTTATAGTTGACATATAACACCACTGACATAACTGTATTATTGAGTTGTAATCAATACAATTAAGTTTAAACGTAATATTATTACTTTCAACACAACTAATACATTTATGTGAAATCTGTTGACCTCATACATTCAATGTTTCAGTTTTGTCAGTGTGTTCACGGAGACGCGATCAACATGTTTACACCTCACGGTCAACATGTTAAGCAGAAGATAGCATGCCATGTCCAGGTGAAAATGCAACATCTTTATGACCAATGGCAATTCACTTGAATTCATTCCATCATTTTCAGCCGAGAAAGCAGGCCCTTACTTTCCGTGATGACGGTGCTTTTGAGAAATGCTCTCAGAGGGGGGGGGAGAGGGGGGGGCGGGGCGGCGTACCTGTAACCTCCCGACATCAGTCTTATGCACACCAATTATCTCCGGCTCTTTGCATGACTCATCGAGTCTGGCTGCCTGGATTAACTGCTGCCACATTTAGATTTGATAAACAATCCGCAAACAATCCTCTATTTTGTAGTTGTCAAAGCCTAAAGGTGAATGCTGGTGACAGCCCTGTGGGCGGAGCTTCAGCCTTCAGTGGTGCCATGCAATGCCTGAGCATGGAGCTCTGTCATTAAAACAGTAACGATGCTGCAGAACCTTTTCAGTGCTCCAGAGAGTTCTTGAAATAAGTCATTTTTTATTAAAACAGGATCAAATATTCCTTTAAAGCTGGCATCTTCCTGTGACTGGAATAGGAGGCTCAGCCCTGCAGCTGGGTCCTGTGCTGCTGCACCACTTCCATTACCTCCACCATCTTGATTGTAATCACTTTCATTTTTGCAGCACTTTACTTAAAGACCAGAGTGAGAAAAATCGAGGGAAAGCTTTTTGGGTTTCTAAACCTCCCCCCAAGGTGATGGTGCTATAAAATGTGTATCTGCACTCTAAAACAGCCCAAACCCCTGTCTGTAAGCACACTGTGAATCCTGATGACTCATGCTGCTTTTGGGGTAAAACATATTAATGAATACGTCTTAGCAAGTTTGAAAAGGCGTCCTGGGAGCAACGTGAGGTCCAAAGTAAAAGCTGTACTTTGATTTCTGTTTCCTCTCAAGGGCCATTTCAATTTGTTCAACATCCTCCGAAGGCCGTACAAATTATTGACCTCTGCTTAAAAAAACTAAAATCACAGCCCATTCATTTGGCCTTTCTTTCATGCTGTGCAAAGAAAAAGCAACCTCTTAATCCAGATATCTCACCATGACTCACGCATGCATGCATGTGCACGGTGTGGCGTGACCATCAAAACAGAAAGATATGGACACAAGATGTGTGCAAATGTATTTAGTTTCCTATCCATGTGAACATGATTTAAGTGGGGGGGGGGACCTAACCTCCTCTAGGGGGGTCCGGGGGCATGCTCCCTCGGGAAGATGTTTTTAAATATTGAAGTTAAAAGCATCAATCTGGTGCACTTTGAGAGCAACATGAAGAGATCTATGGATACATCTTTCAACACCCAGATAAAACAGAACTGGAAGCAGATTTGATTTTTCTTTATGGATATTTTACAAATCACTCCCCTTTTAAACTGTATTCTTCTTTATTAATAACAACTTTCTTTTCCTGTCATATAGTATTTTATAACAGTTTTTTATAACTATAATATCATATAAAGATGTGCCTTTACCTCACTGGTTGTAGAAAAAGCTTCTTATATTCGTTAGCATAGCTAGCTAACCAGATGCTAATAACAACAAAGTTATTGACTGTATGATCAGTATGACAGATGAACAGATCGCCACTGGGCTCTCAACTAAAGACACAGACACGCAGAAACTGCGGCATGTGTACGGCTCCTTATGGGTACTGACATTTGTGGAAGTGCCGGAGCGACGTTCTGGTGCTCTCCTTCAGAACTGCACCCCTGTCAGACGAGACATGTACCACGTGATGACATGTTCTCGTGTTGTGTTCAAGGACCCTGACCTTGGTCAGGCACTCACTTGTTTAATTCTTTGCGGTTTAGATTTCTTTATTTTTTTTATTTTTTGCGTGTGTTTATAAATTACCTCGAGGGCCGTACCAAATGGTCTCGCGGGCCGTATACGGCCCGGAGGCCAGAGGTTCCCCACCCCTGTTTTAAAATGACCTGCCACTAATGACTCCGGCTGGATTAAAACCTCATTAGGCCTCATCGGCATTCCTGACAGTAATGTGCACAACAGCAGACACCCCAGACCTTGTCAGAAACCTTCTGTTGTGACATGTTCCCTCGTAATCCACCCAAAACACAGGAACAATGTTTCCTTGCTCAGTGCAGTTGGCCGGTCAAAGGGACGATAGAGTTTTCTCTGACGAGTCAAAACAAGCAGTTAGAGTAGCTCAACTTCATCCAATGTGTCCCTCTCTCATCCAGACGGCGTCGTTTAACCCATAGATGCAAAAGGGGGTCTTTTTTGACCCGGTGAGGTGGTTTTCTTGAAGTATCTTTGTAATTACATTTTTTTATCATTTCATATTCCAGCTATTCCTCAAAAAACATGCTTTGGATATCATGCCATTCAAATTTTAAATGTAAATGTTAAGAAATTGTAGTTTTTGTATTACACAAAGCTTCCATAAGTGGGTCAAAAATGACCCGCATGCATTTTCTATGGAATTTCGTATTTTTTCAAAATGTAAAAAAGTCACTCGGGCATCTAAGGGTTAAATATGGACAATTCAGCTCCTGGTCCTAAATCCGGTTATGGTTTGATGCTCCTTGTGTGTGTTTACCGCTTTAATCTGACATTTTTTTTCATCCCTGCAGATATATTTTCTACCCTGCTTGTGCACACAGGACGCGTTCTGAAGGAGCTCTTGGACCTGAACACTGACTGAACATTTTATATCTTTTAAAATTCCTACTTTGTGACTAAATTCATTGAAAGATTATTTTAAAGCAACTTGTTTGCATCACAATTGATGCAGGCGGAGGCAGATAAGTCCTGTAATGTGAGGCAAACTTCTCAGACACTGGATTCTGCAATTCCCCTGATGCAACTCAGTAGTGTCTAGAACAGGCCAAATATCATGGGATATCTGAGATGATTTTGACTCTGTTTCTTGGCTCAATGCTCAAAAAAGGCAGCATCCCACACTCCCCATGATGCAACTTGGTCTTGTCACAAACTACCAACCATTGTCCAAATGTTGCTTTACCTGAGACACAAGATACTGTATTTCCTGACTCTCAAACTAGCACACTAGCAACATGCTGGACATTACACCTCCTTTAAATAAGTCTTCCCTCCAACACACACACACACACACACACACACACACACACACACACACACACACACACACACACACACACACACACACACACACACACACACACACACACACACACACCACACACACACACACACACACACACACACACACACACACACACACACACACACACAACACACACACAGTAACTCCAAACTCTCTAAAAGTGGCTGATTAAGAAAACAAATGAACACATGTTCCTGTTGCCATGTTGTAGTTAGTTCTGATATTTTCTGCCTTCAACTTTGACCTTTAACTCCTTCAAATAAAGCTAGAAATGTCATGCATGTCCTTAAACGTTTTAACTTTGTTCTAATACAATGTCTCTTGCTGATAGATGGAGTAAATCTTTAAAGAAAGATAATTGTCAGAGATCCATGGTGTTCAAGCTGCAGCAGGTTTATTCTCAGAGCTCATTTCCCACAGCCTCTCCTCCGGTGTCCCAGCAGCACATCAGCCACATTCCTCCCCCCTCGGCCCGCGAATGCAGTAGCAATGACTCAGCTCCGCCCCGCCCCTTCACTCCCTTACCCCCCCACAGGTGACAGATGGGTGTGTCCACAGAGATCATGAGATCAGCCAGCATTAGCAGACCTGGTGTTCCACAAGCTAAAATGTGATTTCAGAATGCATTCTCAATTTCTCAGGGCTATGAATAAAAACCAGATTTGAGCATTGATTCTGAAAAAACCCTGCTCCCGTGGATTCTCCGTCCCCCCTGGGGATCACTCAGGGGGGGCTGCGTGACAGCCATTAATGACTGACTTGATATCAAGGAGAACAGAAGCAGTGAGCCACTCTCAGACCTTTAATATACCCGGGGGGCTTAGCGCGGAGGAACATAGTTTGTCTTAAAGACGGTTTGGGAGGGCATTTGTGCATTCATTTTGCAATATTAGAAAATGTGTTAGTGACCTGCAGCTTCCCCTGTAAAGCTAAGTGATCCAGGAGCCACGTGCCATGCATTTGAATACCTTATGAATACATTAGGCAGTGCTTTTTAATATCCTCTTCTTTCACTCAGCCGTCTGATTTCAACGGAGGCAAAAAGCAGAGCGGGGTTCTTCATTTCATCAGCGTCTTCCCCTGCCTGCGTGCCTGCCTCATGGACCGTACCAACGCTCCTTTATTAATTACTGCTGTTTCCAAGGAGTGATTGTGTATCTTAACGCCAACGGCACCATCGCCGTTGAGGTGCAAACGATCGCTGGCATTTAATGGTGTTTTAAAGGTTTTAAACAGGTTTTTAATTTGAACAGGAGATTAAAATGTCTCCTTGAGATAATAATAATAAAAAGAAAAATCCTTTGGGCCCAATATGAGAACATAAACGAACGTAAAGCACAGCATCCATTTAAATTCAAACAGGGGAATTGTGTTTGACAAACTGACTGTACTGGTTCGTGCATCAACTGCCACTACGTGCAGGATAGAACACATGTTATACATTCAATAAACTCACGTCATCGTCTTATGGCTGTATGGTTTATTTAACAGATCTATGTTAACGTACTTAAAGTACCGCTTTGCCAGCTGGCTCTTTTCACGTT